TCTATGATGAATAATCGTAGTCTCTCTCTTCAGTCCTGACCCTTCTCCCCCCCCCCCTACACTGGTCATTTTCTAGTCTGCAACTCATACATAGGTCTTAGGTATTTTGCATATTCTGAAATTGGTTAATCCCATCGTGTTAGGGATCTTCCTCGGATGTAAAAAAAGCGACACTTAGTAAAAAAACGAAGTAGATTAAAGTAATAAGGTATTTTCTCAACAATAATACATTTTTTTTTATTTTGAGAACGATTTCCGAAGTAGTAATCAAAACGTCAAAATAAACAAGTTTATTTAAATGAATAAATTTAAAATTCAAGTTAAATATTATGTTTATATGGGGTTGCTGAAACGCAAATGTGCGTAAGTAACTCCTTTGAACAACTTATAATAGAAAGAAAAACATCAAATACTTTCTGCGTAAATTTTGGATTGAGACAGGGAGATTTGCTGTGTTGTAAAATGTTGTTTAGCCTGGCATTAGAATATGGCATGAGAAAAATATATCCGAAAATCAAACCGTACATAGCTGCTCGTGAGCAAAATCGTTCTCAACAACGATCAATCACCAATGACAACAATATAGAACGAGAAGTTGAAACACGAATACTTCAAATCAGATCAGATCTAGAAAACAGATCTTTCTTTGCAATGCAACACCTAATGAGGTCAAAACTTCTCTCACCAGGTCAAAAAATCCAGATATACAAAATTATAATGCAATCAGTAGTCGCGCAAACATTAAGGCTAGCAAAAAAAAGGTAAAATAAATTGCCGGCGTGGGAACGTAAAATCTTCCGTGGTCTTACAGAGATGGCGCAAAACACAACGGGTTAGAGTCTATCTTCGAAAAGGAAAATCTAGCGATAAATATATAAAGGTCAATAGACTAAGATGGACAAGACATTTGATAAGCAGTAATGACAATCGCATTATAAACAATGTGTTTTGGGAAAGACAAGATGGGAGGAGGTTTGTGTCCTAAAAAATGTGGAAATATGCAGTCATACTTGAACGGCTCTTACTTGTGCGGGCCGAAAGTTGCCGATACCAGTTCTAAATAATCTAAAGTTTACACTCAAAATTAATAAGGGTTTTGCAATGAGAACCAGGAGAGGATGCACATCAGAATTATTATGTTTTGATTGCTTTGTGTTGACTTCACTGAGAAAGAGAGACAAACTTCCTAGATATTGTTCTATCTACACATGTTCCAACAATATATACTTCTTGGCATGTAATGATATTGTAAAAGGAGGAAAATATTCCTCATACAACCAAACTTTAACTTCCTATTTGATTTTTATACCGTCATCTAACATCAATAAAGTGTCACTTAAAATTATTGCAAACATAAAGTACAACAGCAATTATTAGCTCTACGATATACATTCAGACATTGTTTACATTATGTGCAACGGGTAAGTTTTGAGTAAAATATTATTTTGTTAGCGAAAAACTAATACTGGACTATTTAACATCAGGATACAGTATCATACACAATGTACAATAGATATACAGTATACAATAGAGTATCAAAATATAGCTAAGAGCCAAAGCAGAACCTACAAAAAATCTTACTCTGGTTTGGGTAAACGAAAACTTAAAGTGTAAAAGTTGTGCTTATTTCATTATGAAACTACAGTCCTTAGAGGACCCCACTGACCACGGTGAATTGAACCAGAAAAGATAGATACAGTTTCGACTCTTTTAACCGGATGGCACAAAATATCTAACTATTATTATTGGTCTTTTTCTACTAAACCAGTTTGTACGTCACCTATTGACTGTTCAATTTGACATTATTAACATTTCGATAAAGCGTTGCCATATTGGCGTTGCCTCATAGAAAATATGAGGAAATAATGAAAATGTGAGGATATTAATATGTTCAGAGGACAGATGACAACTCACCATTTAACATATTAGAGGTGATCATCATTCTCAAAACCTGTTTTTGACATTTCAAAGCTCTAGATATTTTACGTTTGTTCAATCTATATGTTTATCAAACATATTGCAAAACTATTTTGCAACTTAAAACAACTTCGTGCAGGTTTTGTAATATTAACCTACGGAAATTCTAAGCAGTTGTACTGTGACGACATAGAAATCTCATTGATGAGGTACAAAGGGATTTGTAGAAAAAGAAAATATCTATAAAACTATTCTTCTGTATAAACCCGTCGCACACGTATCTAAATTTAATGGAGGGGTGTAGTAAAATGCTAACATACTTAAAAATAAATATAAGAGAATTCGTCAGTTCTTTAAAATCATAATAATACTGTTCATATTATCAAAATAAAAAATTAATAATAATTACACTGGGACGTTAAAAGCTAAGATGGCAAGGTTAAAAACATTTAAAAAGTGCAATCACATCAATTTTTAGATACAAAATTTTACCTTCGAAGATAGCACTAATGGTTTTTATCACTCAATCAGAGGGCAACAGTTGGAGATAATATTTTACGTTACAATGAGATAATACCCTGTAATATTGCCGTTTTAATCGAAATATATCAATATCTGACAATTACTAATTTTTTAAAATTATGCCTAGATTTTAAAATCAAAAACTATGTACAGATATTATAGTTACCATAATAAAAAATTTGGTACTATCCAAAATTTTCAATAGCATTTATAATTGAATAGTATGAATGGCTCTTAAAAATCAAAAATCATCAATATTTTTAAGTCCAAAAATGTCAAAAGATTAATGATCGAGAACCATTGACAGATCGCACAAAAGTATCAATCGATCATTATCAACCACTTTCATAGTTGGTGGACAAATTCGAATATAATTATAAGTTTGAATTGTTTCTACTTCCCTTGTGTCCGATTCTTCTCGATCGACGATGATAAAATAAATTGTTGAAGTCGTGGTGTATAATATAGTTTTAATGTCAGCTACTGAATTATTACACTATAATTGTTGTTGTGGTAAATTTATAATAGACTGCGTCCAAAACTAGTCCCGAAGCTATATTTATAATCTCACTAAAATGCTACCATTCTTTAAAGAAGTATATAGCCCTCTTCATAGAACAAAAACCTTTCGACTTTTGAAAGCTGGCAAAAATAATTTGAACCGAGGAAATGATTGCAGGCATTTCCTCAATAAATATTAGGCAATCTTTAGTTTACAGAAAGTAGAACAAACTGTAATTAAGCTACTAATCAATATGTTTCACAATTATACACAGTGAAACTATACAAATTCAGGAAATTAAGATTAATGTGAGATACTAATTTGTGATTGAACAGTTGGACCAAATTGATACGCTACTTAATATCGAAAATGATCGATACCTGGCACTATCGGAAATTATAAATAGTGCTGTCATCTAGAATAACTAGAAAAACCGTTGGGATAGAACGGATATGCTGCAACGGTATTCAAGGAATGTAAAAGGCCAGTGCCTTGCTTCAACTGTCTATTATTACCACTGGTTTTATCAAAGGTACTCATTTTATTCAGACTGACTCAACCTGGAGCCTTTAGATATAAAAAAATGTTTTTATAATAGTCATGACTTTGTAGCTATTCGGCCCGCTAGACAGGTGAAGCTTTTTCATTAAAAATATAGAACGAATCGGCAAAATCTTAGCAGTATATGATGCCAAGTACATTTTCAGAGTGACAAAGACGATACAAGACAGTAAAGATTGGCCCAAGATCCAAGAGAACCATTGTCCACTCCAGAAATTTACCACATTACAGTATGAGGGGAGCCACATGGCGAACTGTTCTGAAATGACAGATATTCTAGTACCTAGGCCGTTCTTAGTCTTGGATGCTAATGCAACCATTCTTTCATAGCTAAATACACTGTTTTCACATTTTGTTGATTCATTGCTGCTAATTATTGGTTTTCATGAACTGGCTATAGATATTAATCACCAATTCCTTGCTCCAGGAACCAAATGAGGAAATCCCACACTAGACTAGTACACAAATAAACGGAAAACAAACTAGTTGATATGTTGGGCGGATAGAGGCACGGTATAACTTATTATGACAGTTAGGAACCATTCTACATGTCTCAGGTTCCAACTTAAAATATCGTGTTTTTCACACCCTTGTCTTCATACTTTCTGAATCTCCCTCATGCTAGCAATTTGTGTAAAGCGATTTTCTGTCTTTTCCATATTCAATTTTTAACCCAACATTCCCTTTGTTATCGATAAATACCATTTTGCCATATAAAGAGATATATACTAAGATTCTATATAAAAAACACTCTGTATATATTCAAAAATTTCATTCAGGTAAAATTTCACAATCTTAGTTATATATATTTTTAACACTAATGCCCTGCATTATGTTGTTTGTACCTACAGACAAGAACTGCTACTTTTTCACAAAAAGTAATACAAAAGGAATATAAAATAATGAAGTAGCAGTCAAAATATTTGTCTATTTTTGTTCAAGAATTGTGAGGGTAAATTATCGAGCTCAAGAAATATATACCAATTTTAAAAAAGCTTGATTTTTCAAATAAAACAAGTCATAAAGACATATCAAATTTTTGGCACACCCTGTATATGCGAAAAACAAAGAACAGGTAATATCATCATTTTATTAGTTTATTTAAAATTATGTAACACAGTTCTTTACTTAATTGCCCAGGAAACGCAAATACAAAAAAAATGAATATAGTCTTAATTTTGTCCAATATTAGAGTTGAAATCAAAATTTTTATTACATATGTCGTAGTAGGTATAAATGTAAGCCCGCTAAGATTCAAATATAATTAAATTAATATAAAATGATATCAGGAGAAGACCTGCTCCTCTCATATAAAATATTTTTACATGTTTATATGTTATTTCTGGACTTCGATAATTCACAATCATTAAAATTTATCAAAATGACTCAAAAGTTTCCCGCACTAATGACTCAAAAATAAATTAACAAATTAATTTTACCTGTCAGTTTTACAACAATGAATTAAGTACCAAAGTTGTGTATGTGCTCTCCCTCTCATCTATTCTCGCCTTGCTCTCTTAGGCCTGATGTTATCACCATCTCCCCTGCCTTTCTTTCCAATCTGCACCTGAGACTGTGCAGTGAGATGTAAAGATATAGCTTGCGTGTTGAGTTTCTCTGCCAGAAGTAAGTCTTTCAGTTGTTTCATTTTCTGACTGTGGAGAATGATGGTAGGCCTTGTGTCTTGAGGAGGGGTTTCTTCTGTTGATGAGGAAGGGCTGCCGAGAGGATCTTGCTTTGAGGTACTTGGTCGGCCATTTATTTTGTCTTCGGATTCTGACGGTGTGTTAATTGGAGCAGAATCTGGATAATCACCACCTATACATTTTTTAAATCATGAAATATATTTTACTAATACTGGTAAGTATGTCTTCGGAAAACACAGTTACATTTAAATGAATACAAAAAAGTACACAATGACTGTAAAGAAAAAGTGATATTTAAATAACAACTGAGTTAAAAATATTAACATATTGCTATCTGTTTTATTTGAGAGAGGGAAACCATTGATACTTATACTTTTTTATATATTTTAAAAAGCATCTGATATTTAAACTCTTTCCAAATAAAACTTACCCACAAATGGTGAACCATCTCCCTGCAATAAATATTCTGGGTTCAGAATTTTCTCTGAACATGCTGCTGTGAGAGCCTCAATACTTGGATGAAATGGTGATTTGTCGACTTCTACAGTTGGTTTTGCGGTTGAAGGTATGCTGTGATCATTATTTGTAGATCCATTTTCTTTCTCGTAATTATTGTTATTAAAATATGTACCATTCTTCTTCAATATTTTGTCTTCTTCAGACTTATCACAGACAATATTTACCTGTAAATGCATATTTAAATGTATTAAGTATATTAAATATGCTAAACTAAATCTTTAAAAATATACTGTACTAAATTACTCTGTAATGAATGTGGAAAATGCCTTCCACTTTTAACATGAGTAATTTCATGTTACAAAAATGATTGTTCCTTAACTTAAAATAACCATGGCATGTAAATGTAGCTTCATCTGAGAATAATAATCTATCAACAGAAAAGTGGTCAAGATTTTGCCTGTTTCGGATATCATTTCCACATAGTAGTGAGTATCTTAACGGCACATCCGATTTTAGTTAAATTTATAAAGATTTACAATAGATTTTGCACAGGTGTAAAATACTCACAGATTTTAAAAACTGAAGTTTTGCTGATTCCTAGAGCTGAAGATAAACATCTTGTATTTACCTGTGAATTTGCAAATCATCGCAAACGCAAACCATTACTTTACCTTTTTGATCAGGCGTACTGATTTTTGGTTGGCCTAAGTTGTCACATTGTCATTGCATAAATTCCGAAATTTATGTTTAAATGTTTGGTGATTAGTGTGCAGTCTATTTGGGTATCGTCTTAACTATCGCTCACAATAAATAGCAGTCATATCTCTCATAACAAGATTAGAAAAATTATTATACCTGGGCATTTTCTGCTTTTCTTTATTACACCAAAATAATCTAGATATTACAAGTCAATGATTAATCGAAACAAGACTTAATTTTAGTTGTCAAAAGCATTCGTGACATTCTACTATTTTAAGAATTTTTAGTAATGCATTTAACATAATTGGGGTTGTCTGACCATGACATCAAATAAAACATTTAGCAGTGGTAAGAAAGTGTATTGTGTTGTTACATAACTCTCTTAGAGCTGTATATAAGAATAAACTATTAATTACGCTTATCAACAGGTATTCAGTGCTTTGAGCACAAATATCACAACTAAGAATTATTATGCAGCTGATCTACAAAATGCAATTAGCTCGAAAACTGTGCAGTTTTGAAGTTATTAACAGGTATATGGTTTTTGTTGAAATAATGTATCTTTAATATTTTTTGACAAAAATAGCGCTAACTTGAATATTAAAAAAGTTAAGCACACATGTATGATACATATACAGCATATGCGGCGCCCTCTAACAGCTACAAAGTATGCATAAATTTAAATTCCTCATAATAAAAAACCCCTAGTTATTAATTTTCATATAAAATTGTCCACAAACATGAATGATACAGCGAAAAATAAAATTTTAACTTCAACTTTAACACCCTATTCTTTCTCAATATCAACATTTTATTAAAGCTAGTTGGCTGAAATTGTAATATAAGTGTAGAATCTACTGTTTCTTTTTGTACAATTACTTAAGGACTACCCTATATAGTAATTGGAACAAGCCACATAACAAAGTCAGATGACTCTTAAATTACATAATTAATGTAGTAATCATTGTAATTATTAGGACACTAGGTTGATGATGAAGAATTACATTTTGAAGGGAAAATACAAATTCCCAGCTCGAACCCGTACTTGATCCAATGAAGTGGTATCAACCAACTGAACAGTTAGTTGTCACTTTTATCTTAGGTTTTCATTATGTCCTGTTCATTTTATTTGTTTATTAAAACCTTTTGTTTAATTGTATACAATTATTTTTCTTAAAAAGGCAAATAAATTTTTTTGGTCATTATTAAAAATGGTTGGGTCATATAATTGGTCATTATCAATTGATATGCAGTGATAAGAATTTATCCTTCTTATAAACTATATACAAGTTTTATCATGTACATAAAAAAAATAAGCAACATGTCCTATACAAAAAAAGAAGCAGTGCACACACTAAATACACATGAAAAGAATTGAAAATACAGCCAGGTATATTTCCTTACTTCACCATTAAAAAATATTCAGCATTGTGTTTCAATCTGTTTTGACAGGTTATAAATTTAGTTTAAAAAAACTTGAAGAATTCTGCTCATTTGCATCTAATCAGCACTACTTTAAACAATTAATTCCACTTCTGTTTAGCTGTCAAACTTTATTTCTTTAAATTAAACCACTTAATGTGTACTGAAATACTTGTATCTATCAGAAATCTGATATTATGGTCCTCATTTTACAGACAAAGTATTACAATGTGATCTATGAACCCCCGTTTTTGTTTGGTGTCCCCACCTGAAGTCAACCTGCCTTCTCAGCTGCTCAAAGGAAAGTGACACAATGTAAAAACTCATTCTCCCACAAGAATGAAATGGAAGTTCCTTAAGTTGATTTTTATTTATTCCCTGCGTAGATAACAGGTTTGAGAATTAGCATTTATTTTAAATTATCTATAAGTGAAACAGAGAAAAGACTAAATGAAGAGCAACACAGTTAATAATTCATCTTGGAAGCAGTACTTGGTTAATTATAAACCATTATTATTTCGATTTTTATGATTTACAGGGTAAACAGAAAATGCTGCAATGCTATTTAAAAATTATCCACAAGCTTTTATATTTCACTCACCTGAGCTCTAACATCTGCATCAAATTTAGATATGGTAAGAACCAATGGTTTAGCCCATCCAATATGTAAAACTGGGGTTGCACTGCCTTCTTCCCATTGGCAAATACCATCATAGAAGCGGAGTAAGTCAGCAAAACATTTTGGTTTTTTCAAGATAGTGTTAGCACTGAATCCTGAACTTTCTATTTTCATTATATGAGGAATCAACTCATTGGCAATTTCTAAAAATTCCTTGTATATTTCTTCATCATCTCTTGAGTAATTATACCTGAAATTATAATAGCATTAAGTTATCTGTACAGTAAAAAGGTTATCTAGGTTTTGTTAATAATGAGCTGTTTTATCATAGCAGTAAATTTGATGCAATGATAATAACAATCACTAAACAATTTAGTGTGATTTTGGGTAGAAGCAAAATATGTTTGATGATTGTACTTGTTGCCTAATCAAGGATTAGATTAAAAAATATTATAGATGGAATATTGGACATAAACAATTTTTGATTATCCTAATATGAAAAACTATATTTTATTCTTATAAAATGTTGGAAGTTTTACTTTAATATGCCCAACATTAGTTATAATTACAGTGCAACACAGAGATACCTCCAAAAACATGTTTTTTCATTTGCTAGAAACTCAGAACATGAAAGATCAGTGTTGCATAAACTCATAAGTGAGATTATTATAACTCAACAGTTAGTTATTTTTTGAATATCCCACTATGTGTCTCATTTTCTTCATGAATCACTTGAGTCATTTTGCAATATCCTACTGTTCTGGTTAGTTAGGTTACTGCCAGATTTGTTATAATTGTCATTCAAAGTATTTGGCATGTTTTTGCATACCTTATTATTATAGTGAATTTTATGTAACAATAATTGTGAATCTGAGAATTAAAAATGTGTCAGTTGGCTTTGCAACAAAATGGATCAATTATTGCATGTGTGTAATCATAATACCAAAAATAACACCTTACACATACACTAAGTGTTTTTTAGTTTAAAAATGTATGTCATCATTCTTCTGGTTTTACAACACTGTGTGAGTAAGGATGCGAACACTATTAGGTAGGGACCAGCTTTTAATTGTCAAAGATACTGGTTTTCTACAAAAACCAGTATTGTTTGGTGTTTGTACAAAATATTACTACCAAAATTACACTAATACTTACAGTCTAATAACATCACTTGCATTTGCCCAACTCTCAAAAGCTTCTTCATATAGTTTATTACGGTAAAAGTAACCTCCTTGATATGTGTAAGGATACACATGTTGATTGTTGTAGTAGGTTCTTGCTGAGAATATAGCTTCCTCAAAAAGTAATTTACATGGCACTTTGCCTTCTGTGGCTGAGATTTCCTCCAAGTCTCCTAGATTACCAATAGCCATTGGATATTTTTTCAGGTGTCCTAAAACAGAAACGAATGCCACATGTGAAATCATCATTAGGTAAATATTAAATGTATAGGGTAAGACACTGTGATGTTATCATTGCTTATTATTATAAACTTTTTAACAAAATTATATTAAATATTATTTTTAAACTGACCTAGATCATACAACAACCATAGAAGTTCTTGCTGGAGCAAAGCAACTTCATAAGCATCATGTGTCGAGTTTAATGATGGATTGATAGCAGAAACTAATGCTGCCACTTCCATGTGTCTTGTACATACTACAGGTTTGTTGTTTACATACAACCAGGATCTTGCAGACACTCCTTTACCAATCTCTTGTCCCCTTTTATCTTCATTGCCTTTTCCATGCCAAGTAACTTCAGCAGTTTCTGTCCCATTTTCTCCAAAAACTACCCAGGCATGATCTTCTGATAGAGCCAAGTGTACATCATTGTAACCCAAACATTGGCACCCTGCCACAACAGCGAATGCCACACCGAAACAATCCAACTTACTACCACTTAAATAACTATATAAGCTCTGTAAATGAGCCCTGTCTTTATAATAGCTCCTGGTAAGGGAATTCCAGATAACATCTGATACTTTCTTGACCAGTTCTCTGGTAGCAAAAGATTTGGATTTATTTTGATCGACAGCATTTGTCATAATACTTTTGAACTTGTTATACAAAAGTTCTACCGCTTTCAGTTCCAAAATCGGTAGGTTGTTCTGTTCCACTGGTTCACATACTTGAAGCGCGCCATTAGACCGGCTTGTTAAAGAATTTTCGATTATTCCCGCAACAATTGAAAGTAATGCAAGATCGGGATCCGAGAGGCCCTCTAATTGATTTCTGAAGAGTTGTACCACTGTGTTAATGCTTTTTATCGGAAATAATGCTTTGTCTATATCCCGGAAACCAGCCATGTCGTAATTTACATTTCTTTCTTTGTTTTTTGACATCAAACAGATTTGCGCACCTGCCAACATGTCAATGTCAGTTTTGTTTACCTGTATGCCTGTATAGTATTCAGTCTCTCCAACTTACTGGGAATTAAGATTTCTTAAAGCTAGGCAAACAATTATACAAATTGTGATGTGTGATAATAATCATTTACATTTATTTTATGTAATTTCTTCAAACGTGGAATGTACTGGATATTGGTTGATTAAATTGTTAGATTCGCCTATTAAAATTGTTTAGTTAGTTATTTGAACTTGAAAATTGAACTTTTGTAAATCGAACTTTTTAAAATAAGTTGTAAATATAATAAAACAGAATATTTGTAAACTAATATTCGAGTATATATCAAAGGAGCCAGTACCAAGCTTGAATACGAAAAGAAAAGGATGAATGGTTATTGAATAATAGTAATGCTGTTCTATGATAGTAAACATTATTTGATGACACTAAAAACTGATAAACAAGTTGGGATAGGTTAAGACCAGTTTTTGGCTCCGTAGAAGTGAAATCTCTTGGCTAAGATATATAGTATGATATAATTGGTCCAAAAAAGGTCTAATCCCGACATACAAAGTAAAAGTTTTCCTCCAACACAAAATAAAGTTTTCTATATGGTCCGTATATTGTTGGAGGGGGAGAGAATTCGGTAAATTGGCAGTTTTTTACGTTTTTCGTCAATATTTTCAAAACAATGAGGTTTAGCATGAAAAATGTTTTACATTAAATTTGCAATGAAAAAGATCCGATGGATAATCCTTTTAAAAAGAACAGTTTCAAAGTTACGGAGGGTGTACATCTAACCATGCTACACAAGATTACGAGAAATTAATAAGCAAATTAGATTTGAAAATTGTAAAAGTAAACTCGAACTAAAAATGTTAAAATTTACAAACTGAACAAAAAAATTAAAGAATTACGAAGTATTAAAACACTAAAACACCTGAACTTTCTTCCTTATCCAGAGGAGTTATAGGAGATGAAAACGTGAACTGTCATAAAATCGGAACCCTGGCTTTAAAATACATTGAAAACAAAACATTTAATAGAATACACTTCAAAAGAAAGAAAGCTGTTAAGTCCCTAGTCTTTATAACCAGGTCGATGACAATTAACACCTCCACGATATGTGTAACCCCAAACATTCTCTTACATGTGTGATAGTGTGCAGAGTAAGGAGTGATGAGAGACTTGAAGAAATATTTTTATATGAACTATATGCGTATCTTCCTTAAAGGAAGCAAATCTTCAATGGTCACTGTTTTAGTTCTAGACACAAAAAAACCATCATGTACTCTAGATTCAGGGAAAATATCATACATCATTTATGGAGGTCAACTCCTTCAAAGCTACCTTCAAAGAGATTTGCGAGCAATACAGAGACTACGTAATTACTCATTATGGAAACAGCAACTGTTGTATTTAATGGATACCAGTAAGGAAATACAAAAGATGAAGAACACCTACGCAGAGCACGTTCTAGCATTGGAGTAAAAGTTGAAGTCATAATCCATGTAAATATAAACCAAACTGAATTTTTAGTTAACGTTAACAACAAAATGGGCCTTATTCCACTTCTTACAATACACCTGCAAAAATGTGATTGCACAGTTCACCAAGCATCGGGTGACGCTGACTTATTCATAGTTTAACAGCTATTGATGAAACTAAATAAGACATTGAATCTTGTGTTATTAGTGATTACACGAACTTACTAGTTTTGTTGACTGTCCACGCACCATAAGGAGAAGAAATTGAGAATGGTGGTACTAAAGAAAGGCAATCGACAGGAAAAAATCTACACTATTGCTGACTGTCAGCAAGGCATTGGAGATATGAAGGATGTATTTTTTGCAATATACTCCTCTACAGGATGTGATACTGTATCAGCTATCTACAAGAAGAGGAAAATTACTCCATATAGGAAAGTGCAAGCCAAAGATGCTCGTCGTAGAAAACTTCTAGTCTTCAACTAACCCAAAGCTGACCCCAGTGCAGTAGCTGACGTTGAAAAGCGTTTCCTTCTTGCGATGTTTGGTGCCAGGAACATGGGAGATCTATATTGTTTTCGCCGTCGCTTATTATCAGTCTTACATGAAGGCTATTGCAAGCATCCTATACATTCTTTGCTTAAGTTAGCCGCACAACCTCCCATTTCAGGAGCTTTCAGCCAGAATTCGTTCAGAACCTACCACCAGTTATAGAAGTGACTGAATAAGATAAAGAATCCGCTCGAGTGGGGTTTAAAGAAGATTAAAGTACACCTGACACCAGTTACAACAGTTCCTGCTGCAGCTCACGAGGAATTACTCCCTCATAGTGTGTACTTGCAAAGACGAATGTACCTGTAACATCCATCATAAACGTAGATGTAAAAGAGGAGGATGTTGTATTTGAAGAGGACTGAAACTGATGAATAAGTTTACTTACTTGAAACGTATCACATTATAATCATCATTATTATCCAAGAAATATTTTGAGTATTTAAAATTATTTTGTTGGAATTTACTGTAGGAAAAATAATACACTCTTATAAACTTGGGCTTGCTAATTACAACTTCACCATTTAAAATGTCAGTAGCAAGGCGATTGTTTCATTGGAACGAGACCAAGGGGACTCGGGAAATTGGGAATAACTAGTAGAATTTATATTTATCTTAAAATCATTACCAGATACAACGACATATGTCACGTTTTTAATGTCAGATTTGGAGGCCAAAACTTAAATTAATTTACTGGAACAATGTTAATGAAGGCAATACATGATATAAATATCCTAAAGGTCATTAATATAAAGTTCTTGGTTTATGTGCACAGTGAGATAGAATGTTACTCTATTTTTTCTGCAATTGACATATAATTCAAATGTGTAGTGAAAGCTTGTGGCCTGAAGATTGGAAGCAAATTGCCCAAGGAAGGAAGGGTGAACAACCTTATCTTGTTAATGATTCGAATCAAACGGACATAAAAGGTTATAAAAAATTTGTAAAGAATAACATCATCGTTTGGAAAAAAATTAAAAATTACAATGTCGTTCGATGCCAAAAATATTTACTGGCTGAGATTTACGAAGTCACAACCATTTATTATTGAGTTCAAAGAGTAATTTTCTGAAGGTTTCGGACATTTTAATTTAATCAAATGGGCCTGCCGTTCAATTCAATCACCTGTACAACCCGGTTTGGGTTTGTAAAGTCTAGTGTAACATTTTACACTAGTCTGTCATACGACAATAAGGAAAATTCAAACAAAAAAGATGATGGTCAAGACTATGAAGGTAATTCTTGAAAAAGTTGTATATTTGTAACTCTTTAGAACTTACATATTGTTGTGTTTTTATTAACTCTAATTTATTGTCTTTATTTATTATCAAATGTTCTACATTTATAACACCAGTTTATTAAAGTCTTTATTACAATATTCACTTATCACTTAGAACTATAACACAACTACTATAATTTATATTATTTATGTATTTACAATATTTATTTTGGACTGACCAACTCCAATAAAACCTCGTTCTTATATACAACACACCGTTAATCTAGAATCTTGTCGACCTTCCTGACCTTTGGCGAAAAGACTGAAAGGTCACGCCATACTGATGTTTTTAGCCGAGGGGGACCCGTTTGGAAGGAATCCCACAACGGACCAGTTGAGATCACAATCCCACAACAGACAGTCTTTCCAACTATGACGTACGGTCTAGAGACAATTACGTTGACCATAAAAGCATCCGACAAAATGAAAGTAACACAGCGCGCAGTGGAATGACCTATGCTGTAAATAAGTTTAAAAGATCGCGTCCACAATGAACAAATACATAGAAGAACAAAAGTATAGGGTGTAATACAACGCGCAGTTGCATTAAAATAGTAGGAGATGTTGCCAGATAAAATAATACCACAAATTAAACGCGTGGACACCTAGAGTACATAAGTGTTCGTCCATCTTCAAAAAGATGTGAAAGAAAAGGCGGGAAAACAATGACACCAGGTAGTAAAAGACAAATTAAAATGGAAACACCAAGGGGAGGCTTACATCAAGGCGTGGACAGTTGATATAGGTGGAAGGGCTGTTGAAATAAGAAGAAAAATCAGAAGTTTTTTGTAAATAATTAAATTTTTTAATTGTTAGTATGTAAATCATGAATGTGTTGCTTGTGTGAGTCCATTTTAAATAGGTAAAGAAATAATAAATAAGACTTACTCACAATCAATTTAATTTAACTATCTGACGACCGGTTTCGCTTTCTACAATATGCAAAGCATCCTCAGGACTCGATACAAAGTTAAACAAATGCTGAAATAATAAAAACCCATATTAGGGTGTTGTCCAATAACGATAAACAAAGTAGATGTTGTAAATTACAATAATTATGCCAATATTACATGTCTGTGGTTTTATTTAAATGAGTAAGTTGAATAAAAGGTATAAAATTTTAAAAGTTTAAACAGACAAGTAAGGCCCACAAATTGTTATAAAATAGTCTCTTCGATTGTAATAAATTAACAAATGAGCAAATAAATAAATAAAATAAACATTACTTACATGCCGGTACTCTATTAATTGATGGATGGTAGAACATGGTTGAAACTACTATATATTGTTGACTGGAGAACTCAATTCTATTATTGCAGTTGTTTGACAGTAAACAGTAAACTGTCGATCTAGTGTTATTTTTAATTAAACATTATTTTAGTTGCAGATTGTAAAACAAAGTGGACTTCATTGCGCAATTCATATGCTCGACAACTACGGGAACTGAAAAACACACCTAGTGGCACTGCTTCTTCCAAAAAGAAGTAATGGCATCTTTGTGATGCAATGTCTTTTTTAACAGATTTTATGGATCAACACAAAAAAATGGCAAGTAATTGCAGTTATAGAAGAGAATAAAAAAAATCATGATCTCAGTGAAAGTGTTGCTGATTTTGATGAGACCAATTCACAACATTCTGTCATATCTACGCCTTCCATTAGGCCAGATTTAAATCCACCTAAAAATAAAAAAAGCATCTAACAAACA